TTTTTCTTAATTTTGGATTAGAAAAGCGGGGGCGTCATATACATGGGGGTGTCTTATACACGGAAAAATACGGTATGTGCTGACGTAAGTTAATAACACATTTTGACTCATGCCAATAATTTGATTCACTGATTCATCCCACCACACATAAGAATTCATATACTGTAATTTACTGCCATTATTTAGATATCCCACCAAATTCTTGTGGGTGGAGGACTGGGTTGCTAGGATGCAGAGGAGAGGTTTAGATTTCTTCTTAATGTGCCAAAACAAGTAGGCTGACTTTACTTACTGTGCACTTTAGCTTGCATGATTGTGTATGTGTTTGTGTGTGCACGTGTGTGCAAGGGTGCTATTTGGAGCAAAGTGCATTGGGCGTCCCCTCTTTCCACATTCATAGGCATTTCCATACAATGCAAGAATAGCAGTGCTTACACCCATTAAATTCCTAAACTCACCCACCCGCTAGATGGGCACTTTTTTCATCACCAGGTCCAGACAGGCGACTACAGATTGCTTGCCAGATTGGTAACCGCAGTGCTTGAATTGCCTAAATCAGTCGGGAACCATGATGCGAGGAGAGTGGGGCCTGAAGGCTTTGTTGCTTTGCCACTTTATAGTGTGGTTGCCATGTGGGGCTGCAGTTTTAGATAGGCTGTGTTCCCCTCTTGGCCATCCATTTTCCACCTCTAGCCCATATTTGAGCAGCTGAGTCTCAAGAATACTGTATTATACGGAACATTGTTAAAAGACTTACTAGAATCAAGATATATTAAATCCACATCCATAGCGCTCTCCTTATCTATCAAATTGATAAGATTAAGCAGGCATGAGACACCCATGCTGGTTTTAGTAATTTGTCATACCTGGATGAGCCCCCCTCAGAAGAAAAGGATCAAGGAGATCAGAGCACTCAGAAATCTGTTGTTAGATCCATATCTAACTTCTACCTGGACCTATCACAGAGGATTACACTGAATAATACAGTACCCTGTTTCCCTGAAAATAAGACCTAACCTGAAAATAAGCCCTAGTATGATTTTTAGGATGGTTGTAATATAAGCCTGACCCAAAAAATGAACCCTAATTAAGTGAAACCTCGCCCTCCACCCTTGTGCAGCAACCGGAAGCAGATGACATGACTCTATTTGAATAAATATAGATTGTTGTACATGAGAAATATAAAACATCCCCTGAAAATAAGCCCTAATGCATTTTTGGAGCAAACATTATATAAATCACTGTCTTATTTTGGGGGAAACACGGCAGAATAACTGACTTGGAAGGGGACAATAAGGTCATGACCCCCCGCTCAATGCAGGAATACAAATCAAAGGATATCTGACAGGTGAATATCTAAGTTTTTCTTGAATGCCTCCAGTGTTGGAACACTTACCACCTCCTGAGGTAACTGGTTCCATTGTTGTACTTCTCTAACAGTTAAGAAGTTATTTCGTGATATTCAGCCTAAAATCTGGCTTTCTGTAGCTTGAGCCCATTATTACTGGGAGGTTTGAGAACAGATCCTAGCCCTCCTCTATGTGACTACCTTTCAAGTATTTAAAAAGTGCTATCAGCTCTCCCCTAAATTTTCTTTTCTCAAGGCTAAACATGCTGAGTTTTTTCCTGTCTTTCCTCATAAGGCTTCGTTTCTAGACCTCTGATCATCCTTGTCAGCCTCTTCTGAACTTGTTCCAATTTGTTGGCATCCTTCTTGAAGTGCCATGTCCAGAACTGGACAAAGAACTCAAGATGAGGCCTAACCACTGCCGAAGAGAGGGAAATGAGTACGTCGCAGGATTTGGAAACTATATTTCTACTAACGCAGGCTAAACTACCATTTGACTTTTTTGTAGCCACATCACACTGTTGGCTCATATTTAGCTTGTGATGTACAACGATTCCAAGATCCTTCTCACCTGTAGTATTGCTGAGCCAGGAATCCCACGCACTTGTAGTATTGCTGAGCCAGGAATCCCACATTGTAACTGTGCGTTTGGTTTCTTTGCATGTATCCTTGTTGAATTTCATTCTGTTGTTTTTAGTCCAGTGCTCAACCCTATCTAGACCACTTTGCATTTTGTTTCTGTCTTCCAGGGTATTAGCTATTCCCCTCCAATTTTGTGTTATCTGCAAATTACACCAGCGCCAGGGTATTAGCTATTCCCTCCAATTTTGTATTATCTGCAGATTTGACCAGCGTTCCCTGCACCTCCTGATCCACGTCATTAATAAAAATGTTGAAGAGCGCTGGGCCCAAGAGATCCTGCTTTGATTTCGGGTTGCGTGCAACATCATCTCATTGCATGTGAGCTGTGCACAACCCAGAATGAAGCAGAAACTCTCTAATCCGTCAGTCGCAGTCTGCCAGTGACATCACTCCTGTAATGGCAATCCGGCTGTGTAACAGGATACTGGCCTATGTATTACACTTTTCAGCTGCCTATTTTTGGAGCCACCCAGCCTTGTCTCAGATCAAATACCCATACCTGAGTCTGCTGAATCCCCGCCCCGTGCTCTTAGCCCCCGCCCCCCCAAAGTGCTGATTGATGCAAACCACAGTCAAGGTGCTTTTGAGCACAAATTTCATAAGGCAGATTTTGACCCCGTGTCTCAGAAGCCGACTAGCCTGCTCATCAAAGACACTGGAAAGCTATTCCTTCTTCTTTTATAGAAGAGAGTGTAAAAACATGGGAGAGTTACAGGTGCAAAATAACACTTCTTGAACCCCTTTTGCAAAAAAAAAAGTATGAATGAGGTAGGGCAACTGTATGATGAAAAGCCTCATCTGGAAGCATCCCGCACAGCTCAAAAATCTTGACGAATCTGTTGCAGTGCCTTAGATCTTACCTATCTGAAGCCTGTTCGAAAGCTAAGAGGGGTGTGTGTGTTCAACTGTGAAGCTCAGTTTAGCCAGTTTAGTTGACCTTAATTGCCAAGAACGTGGCAGAAAAATATTGCAATGAAGAAATTGAGCAGAACAACCTGAATACTTGGGGATGACAGAGAGGAAGATCTTAACCATTGGGTTTTTCGCATGCAAATGAGAAGCCTCGTTAGGTAGGTCTGGATGTTGAATTAGAAGTATTTTACAATTCATGCAGAGTGTACTGCTTCCTTACCTTGGCACACACACTTCTACAGCCAAAGTATTCCAAACACTAGCTTTGCAATTCTGAGCTGCTTTAAGGGGTAAAGAATATTTGTTTATTTATATGAGGTTGTTGGAGTTTTTGCAACTCGCATGCTGCCTTTTGACGTTTTGGCTGGGAGGGACCTTTCTGAGCTGGAGTGACTGTCAATCTATCCAGCTCTAACCAATCATTCCTTCAGTGCCTCTGAATTCAAGGAGAGCCCCGCCTCTCTGCTCTGTGCCTTTTCCCCACTCTTGAGTCTGTCGAAGTCTGCTTCTGAAAGCTCTCATGTATGTTAGTTTGCTGTTTGATCCATTCAAGTCATTATTCTCCAATAAATGTCTCAGTTATTGAGACTGTGAGTGCCAGATTATGAGAAGAAGGGGTGGACTAATCTGGAGAACTTGAAACTACAGTGGTGCCCCGCATAGCGAGGTTAATCTGTTCCGGATTAACCGTCGCTATGGGGAAACATCGCCATATGGAATGGAAAATGCCATAGAAACGCATTAAACTTAGTTTAATGTGTTCCTATGGCTCTTAAACTCACCGTTCTGCAAAGTTTCTCAATAGCACCGCCATTTTCGAGCCCTTGGTAAGTGAGGGCAGGGCACGAAAATGGTGTGGGCGGCCATTTTCTGCACCCGGCGGCCATTTTGGAACCACCGATCAGCTGTTCCCAAAATGGCCGCCGGGTGCAGAAATGATCGCAATGCGATGTTTAGCCTATCTAAACATCGCAATGTGATCGCATTAGCGACTGCAAAAAACGGGTCGCTATGTAGATTCGTCGTTAAATGGTGCGCTTGTTAAGCGAGGTACCACTGTATTCAGTTCTATGAGTCCCTGCACTTCTACTGCACAGCTAGAGAAATTCAACCAAAAATCCAAAAACTCTGCAACAGAAGTTTCCACAACTCTACAGGTTGCAAATTAGCTTGTTGGGATTTTTGTTTGTTTGTTTTGTGACTGATCATCAAGAGGCCAATGGGCTTCATTTGCAGGTTAATTTGAGCAGACATAGCAACTTTAAAGGAATGTGTCCCTAGAGGGAATAATGTTTTATCACTTTCTAATAGCAAAACTGGAATCTTATGTAGGTTGGCATGAGGGGGCAGCCCTCTCCGTTCCGTTGCTCCTAACTCTACCCCCATGTTACGTGCAGAAACTCCGTTTGCCAGATTTAGCAAACCCAGACTTTGCTCCTGGTTACAAGCTGTTGCCTTCTGGAGTCTTCTTGGTGCTTTGGAGGAGAAGCGCAGAAGCCGATGCTCTTTTCTGGTGCCGCCACTTGGCTCGGCGATTTTTAAACCAAACCTGCACGTTCACGAAAGATGAAAAAAAGAGAAGAAAAATATTTTGTCCAGAATCAAAAGAATAGGGTTTTTAAAAATGGTTTTCTGTCCCCAAATTGAAAACAGAATGGAAACAGCTGAATACGCGTATGAATATAATACAGAATATTAACAATCCTTGCTCTGGAATCACCATCTTAGAACTGCAGAGCTGGGAGAGAATTTATGGATCATCACGTCTAGCCCCCGTCAAGGAGGCAGCGTAGGGAATCAAGCTCCCAACCTCTGGCTCTGCAGCCAGATAGATGATAATTGGCATTCATGTAAATAAGTGTTGTTATGCAGAAGTGACGTGACGGCACATCTCTCTAGCAAAATAAAATGACTGCAGGCAATGCCAGGTTTATGCTTTTCCTATTTGCTGTTAGTAAAAAACATGATCTGTTGTCTGGGACAAATTCTACGACTGCCAGGAGAAGCTTTTCCCTGATCGCCTTTTGGTAAGACTGCATCTCCTCTGACCGCTATGGATAACTTCCAATTGGGCTGAACCTGATTTTTTTAAAAAACCTAGTGTCATGGCTGAATTTGATGGCATGTGGCTTAAAGAAAGCAACCATCTTCTGCAGCTGTAAGCCTGCCCAGGTAAGTC